TCCCTGTTTTACCCAGCATTTTTTAGAGTGTATGATTTTTGTTAAAGTTATGTTGTTGTCAGCCTTTTATTATACAAAAATTTTCTCTCTGGAGTCTGTCGCCCACTGAATAGTCTGTTTCCGATGAAAGCCTGCTTAAACAGGCAAAGCGTGTCAGCTTTCCAGAGGACCAGCACGGCTCCATTCGATTCTGTTAACTTACAGAAGTATGAAAAATTGCTTCCATTCTGTTTGAGGACAAAAGCAAACAAACAAACAAACAAAACGCATTTCTCAGCCTCTTTCAAGTGTAACTCAACCCTCTGCTTTGCATCGCAGAAAATGTCTTTTTTCACCTTAACTCATACATTTCTTTCTCCTCTCTCTCTTTTTTCTTTTACATGAGCTGAAATCGCTACCAGATGTGGACGCAATCGGTCCCTGTTGCCATGGCGACGGCGGGGTTGTGAACAGGCGTGTAGCCGCGGCTCTGATGGTCCTGCCGCTTGATTGTGCTCCAGGTTTTGGAGAGGTAGGCTATGTTTAGACTGGCACTCCATTTGTCATATCGCCGCCTCTGAAATATCAATTTGTCTCTCCGGCCGCAGATGACAGTCATAATACCATATCTTGGGAGTTTTTTTTTGCTTCTGAAATCCTTGTTTTGTGAATACTTTCTGGAATACACTTTTTTTTTCTGGAAGAATCACAGCCTAAATGACTTTTCCAGCACTGGAGTGCTGTTTCAGTTGTCTCGTACCTCTACTGTACCTAATTTTACTGGGAAAATTATATTGGAATTAGTATATTCTCATTACTGTAATGTAGGCAAAATAATGGTATATTGCTTACATTTACAAATAATTAAATGCAATCTTTTTTTTACATTTTTAGAATTCATGTTGATTTTAAATAAAAATCTATGTAGTTCAGTATTTTTGGAGAATTGCCATTGAAAATAGCGAAAATTATGAATCAAAAATGATCTTATAAATGAGAAAAACTACTCTGAAGTAAAACATCTGGATGCGTTACAGTAATTATTTAAGCAAATATAATTTGTTACTTTTGATTATTTGATTTGATCTATTTGTATTGAATTACTATATTTATATATTTAATTTATTGTAATTAATTATTTATAATTAGAATTACAATTTTTAAGCAATTTCAAGAATGTAATTTATTAATTATTACTTTTGAAATGTGAAAAATATAATTTAATTTTGAAATGTATTATTTCTAACTTTTAATTGAGTTTTTCTTTTATTTATTTATTTATTTTTAATGTGATTGGTCTTCAGTTTATTTTAAGCAAAAACACTCTTAATATTTATTTTTTATTTTTTTATTATAATGAAATATTTTAATACAATTTGAGAAATATTATTTTTTTAGAGAGAGAAAGAGAGAGAGAGAGATTTATAATTTCACATTTTTTATTTACTTTTCTTAAATTAACAGGATATTTTCTTAATTTAACTGAATAAAACAGGATTTTGTTAGATTCATGACAGATTCACTTTTTATTTTGTAGCCTTTTTTTTAAGGACTTATTTTTTGTAAGATGGATCCAGAAGAACTTTTACAACTTTAATCACAAGTGCATTTAGAAAAATAATATTTTATAGAACTGTATGTACACAAAATCTTGTCTCATTACATTACATTACATTATATCTGTATCTGCCTTGTAATAGCCAGTAAAGCCGATATGGCAAATAAATGTAAAAACAATAACGACAGGTCATATACATACTGAAACAAAAGTGTGTGTCTAATTCAGTGTTTAAAAGAAGCTCCATGTCAGAATTGGCATGACTTGGGAAATGTGTGTCTGGATGCTTAAACATCTCTGGTTTCAATTACAGATCACATGATCTTCATCGCCTGTGTTGCCTTTTGCCCACGAAACCTTGGCTGCTTTCTTCAAGCCCTTCTCACTATCGCTCTTAAAAAAAAAAAGAAAAAAAAAAAAGAGAAAATAGAGTGTAAATATGCGGCACATGATGCTTTAACTCCAGGGCCCCATCGCACAGACTTCCAACTGTTCCTGTATAAAAGAGGTTGTTGTGCCAGTAGAGGAGTTGAGTCCTCTGGGCCCTTTAGAGTTTGATGAGCATATGACCACCGTCGCAACAGCTACCGCTATGAAAAAACCTCCCCATGATCCCCTGCTCAGAGCACAGAGGCAGCCAGGAGTCAGCGGAAACTGTAAAATATCATTTACTGTATAAACGGGAAAATGGATGGGAGAGAAAAAAAAAACAGAGCGAGCAGAGTGTCATTTAGAGACAAGCTAGATCATCTTGTAGTGAATGAGACCACCTTTCTCTAAACAATATTTATTTTTTATTACATTTTTTTCCTCTAGGGCTGAGTGATATATTGACCATTTACCGTATATATTGACATTTTTTTAAATTAACCAACATTATAGATGGAGATTGAATATCCAGATGATTGTAGTGTGCTTTTTATTTTCCACTAAGTTTCATAAGCCGTTATGAAGCAGTCCGCCAGTTTAGCTCCTCCTCGAAAATGCTAATAATGCCCATAATGCTGAGTTTGATGAATTTATTGATTCATTCGATGCAAGTTCACAGATCAGATCAGATCAGTTCACAGATTCATTTCCACAGATCAGTGTCTACTGTCGCATTTAGTAAATCGTTTTAAAACACTGATTTAGCTACTCAGATTTCAAACATCCTTGCATATTTTAAAATATTTGGTAAATATATCTGTAGGTAAATATTGCAGTTTATTATTATTATTATTATTATTATTATTATTATTATTAATTCATATATGTTACCCTGGACCACAACACCA